ATTGCTTACAAAACACAGGTCTAATACATTGAGGGAATAATCTGTATATTAAAATATATCATAACTAAACGGAGAAATGAGAGGATGCTACACAAGAGCTAAATTGCAACTACAAAATTAGTTGGAGCTTTTACCTTGGGTCGAGGCTGGTTTACCTTTTGGACCTGGAGATTTTTGTTTCCTTTTTAACAAACGTCAAACTTGTCTGGACTCTTTTAGGTATGTACACTTACCTGCCACTAGCAATGGGTAATATTGAATGCTTGCTCATGCTATCAAAGGTACTTGAACTTGCATTAGCTCCCTCTTCGAATTCATAGACATTAATGGTTGGTTCTATAAGCAAATACTCAGCTTCGTCTTCATTCAAAGTATGTTTCACCCACGGATGCTTTTGTATCTTTGATGACAATATTCCTTCCAGTTCCATCGCTACTTCCTTCATGGTAGGCCTTTCATCTCCTTTAACATGTAAGCATCTTTCCGCAAGTCTCGAGACTGTAATGATCTCGTTATGATTTTCAGTTTGCTGCAACTGTTCATCAAGAACCTGCAAGAGTCGTCCCTCTTTCAAAGAAGATAGAAAATGCTTGGCTTGATTTCTCTCTTTCTCTGGCCTCTCAAAGTTTAGAACATTTTTTCCAGTTAAAAGTTCAACTAATACTACTCCGAAGCTGTAAACATCACTCTTATCTGTCAGCTGGTTCGTCTGCAAATATTCAGGATCTAAGTAGCCTAGTGTTCCTTGCACCATTGTCGCCACCTCATTCTGATCCATAGGAATTAACTTTGATGCTCCAAAATCAGCAACTTTTGCTACATAATTATCATCCAAGAGTATATTCGTTGGCTTGACATCTCGGTGGATGATTGGGACAGATGCTGCAGAATGCAAATACGAAAGGGCCTCAGCTGCTCCATGTGCTATTCTAAGACGAATGTCCCAAGTAATAGCAGACGACTTGCCTTTGTTGTGAAGGTGATCAGAGACTGTGCCATTTGGAATGAATTCATAAACCAATAATGGGACCTCTGATTCCAGGCAACATCCAATCAGCTTCACCACATTTCTGTGATTGATTTGAGAAAGGATGATCACTTCGTTGATAAATTGCTCTATCTGGGTGTCGTTTTGATCTGCTAGTTTGGACTTCTTTATGGCAACTATTCTACTATCTGATAGTACTCCTTTATAAACCGTGCCATAGCCACCCTTTCCTATAATCCTGCTCTCATCATAGTTGTTGGTTGCCCTCTTAAGTTCCTCTATGGTGAACACCTTCGCCTGATCACCAGAACCTTTATCTCTAGAAATTCGTTGCTGCAACATTATTCCACCATTTTGCCTAAAGAATTTTTCTCTAAGCTTCATAAGCTTACGTTTCTTGAGTCCGAAGTACAACCAGTTGACAAACACAATCAGAAATATGGCAGCAGCAGAGGAACCTGTAACAAGAAACAATGACTTATAGCACAATGATTTGAGTCGTTGTAATACCTAGCTCAACATAATAAGTACAGATATCTGAACCTCTAATACTAACTGAAAGATTTTCACTTTGCTTACCTACTGCAATCTTTATAACCATTGATTGATCTGCATTGCAACCTGTTCCGCCTTTTTTCCCATCACCAGAGTAGCCTTTTCGACATTTACATGTATAGCTTCCTTCTTCATCAATGCATTCATGTCGGCAATCATGATTACCATTTATACACTCATTAATATCTGTAGAGTACAAATAGTCAAGCATTTCATTAGGGGTAAACTCTGGGTGCAACAAGGATTAGTAAATAAAGGAAACAAAACACCAAAAGATGAAATATATAGCACTTACTCTCGCAGTCATTTTCAATATAAGGATTGCCCTTATAACCATTTTTGCAGCTACAGCGGTATCCAGGACCTGTATAATTTCGATCGCATTCGCTGTTTCCCTTGCATATCAAAGTATTTCTCTCTGTTTCTATGTCACAAGTCAAGTTTCCAATTGCCCAGTCAAGTAACATTGGCATCCTGGGAGTTTGAAAATGACGCAGATCACTGGTTGAAAAGTTGAAGTTCCCATTTTTAAGAAAAAAGCCATAGCTACAAGGGTTGAAGTCGGTTATATTTGTATGGTTATTAATGCTTGTTACTATAATCTTGAAAGCGCTCATTCCTTCTGGAACTGCTACTTCACAACACCCAACTCCTGTGCAAGATCCATTTGTAAAAAGGCTTCTCCTACCACAGTTAGAATTGCATCCTGTAACATCAATCCTCGGACCCCTTGTTCCTCTTAAAAACGCCAACGTGTCACACCCAATTGCAACAAACTTGTTCTTGGTTGAGACCCGGATATCCGTCCCAATTTTCCCCAACCTCATAGTTGCATCTAACCTACCAGTGGAACCAGAGCTGTTGTAGCAATGACTGGCTACAAACATCAAAATCTCCAACTCGCCCTTGTCCATCGACATATTTGAAATAACAATATTGGTTGTCCCTACACCAAGGATCGGTACGGGCTTACCGGATGTTTGGTTACAGGTTACTAGGAAATTTGAATTGTAGTAGCATTCCTCATCATAACCAAACGGGTACTCGATAGTCACATTACCACATGTTTTTTTACAGTGCGACTTCCCTTGAGCACTTGCTGCCCCCAAAGATGCCATAACTACCACTACAAGTAGTATCTGTAAATGCATGGTTGCTTTTTGTGTATTAATTGTGTTTTTGTTTATTGATTGGGGAAGATGAACATAGTTCTTATATCAACATTGCCATCAAGACTTTTAGTCCCTCGTGCCAGGTTGACCCGTAGTTGATTTTTTAAAAGTCTATCTTTGTCCATTTGATACCTTCCATCTGCCTTCTTGGAAAACTATAGAGTACGTACCAGTTGGTGTGGTCCCTATGGCCTATGGGTACATGTTGGAATCAAAGTATAAAACAAAGATTCAAAGGAATATAAAAGAAAAGGAATCACGGAGAAAGAGAGAGCGAGATGCACACCAAGAAAGACTTTTTTTCATTTCCATTAATATTCTAATCATTACTTTCATTTTCTTTTAATAATATATATATATATATATATATATATATATATATATATATATATATATATATATATATATATAAAAGATCAATGGAGAACTAAATTGAGAAAAGATAACCAACAAACTTTTTATCTACAATGAATTTAATTACCAAATTTCACATGTGCATGTTAATACATATATCTAAAAGGAGTGCAAAAAAAAATTGAAAATAAAAATTATATGCTAGTATATATGCCTATTTTTCTGAAAATATATGTATGCATAAAAAATATGAACATGCATTAAACATGCATTTTTTTGAAAAATTATTTTTTAAATCTTAATTTTGAAATATAAGGCATATTTTCATATATTTGAAATTTTTTGAAATTAATTTTTTTATTATTTTTTAATTCTACGAAAATATTCCTTAAATTTCGAAATTAATACTTGAAAAAAAGAATTTTTCAAAAAAATGCATTTTTAATGTATATGCATATTTTTTGTGTATATGCGTTAAAAAATACATTTTCAAAAACAACAATGAACTTTTAAAATAGAACAAAAAACAGTAATACACTTTCAAAATATAACCAAAAACAACGATGCACTTTGATAATAGAACCAAAAACAGCAATGGACTTTCAAAATAGAACCAAAAACAGAATTGCACTTTCAAAATATAACCAAAAACAACAATGCACTTTGAAAATATAACCAAAAACAACAATGAACTTTTAAAATAGAACCAAAAACAGCAATGCACTTTCAAAATATTACCAAAAATAGCAATGCACTTTGAAAATAAAACCAAAAACAGCAATGAACTTTTAAAATAGAACCAAAAACATCAATGCACTTTCAAAATATAACCAAAAACAAAAATGCACTTTGAAAATAGAATCAAAAAACAACAACGTACTTTCAAAATAGAACAAAAAACAGCAATGCACTTTCAAAATAAAACCAAAAGCATTTATTATTTTCGAAATTAATATTTAAAAAAATAATTTTTCAAAAAAATTGTATTTTTAATGCATATTCATATTTTTTTGTATATGCATATTTTTAAAAAAACATGTGCTTATGCACATGCACAATTTTAAAAAACATGTGCATATGCACATGCACATTTAAAAAAAACATTTTTAACGCCTCTATATGCATAAGAGTAAACATATACATATACACATGAATAAGTATATGCATATGCATATGAATAAGTATATAAATATGCATAGGCATAAGAAAAAGTATATGCATAAGGAAATTAAATACATATGATTATTATGTATATGCATATGAGTAAGAATAAGTATATATATATATATATATATATATATATAATATATATATATATATTATATATATATATGACAAAACTGCACAAATGGTCCCTGTGGTTAGCAAAAAATTGCCACTTTGGTCCAAAAAAGTTTGGACTAGCACCAGAGGTCCAAACTTTTCATTTTCTTGCGAGTTTGGTCCAGTTTGCTTTAAACATTTTTATAATGACAGTTTTGCCCGTAAATTTATCCTTTGTATTTTCTTTTTTGAATATTTTTATTATAGAAATTAATAAAATACTCTCTCTCTCTCTCAAACACTCTCTCTATCTCTCTGTTGAAGAAAAACCCACACACGATGGGTTTTAACCACCATAAACCACCGCTGCCACTACCCCATCTTCCCTACCGTTTTCTGCGATTAGCCCCACCCACATCTTCTCCGATCACTGCTAATTGATTCCCTCCCTTTTCCCTCGTCATTTGTCGCCGAACAGAAAAGTAACGGAGGCATACTCGCCACCCCATTGCCACCACTGCCAACGTAAAAACCAGCCACCGCCACCTGCTACCGTCGATATTTCCACCAACACCTTGTTGCTTTCGTCCTTATTCCCTCTACAAACCAGTGAACACTAGAGGTGCTCTGATAATTCCTTCATCTGAATCTGGAATCTGATATGATTCCCACAAACAAATCGATTTTTTGGGGTAAATACTCACACACAAATCAAATTCCATAAATGATAAACACACACAAATACAGTGAGGTAGAAGATCGGTGAGCCGTCGTTGCTCACCAGTCGAGTCGAGATAGAAGAAGAAAAAAGATACACAGTCGGAGACGAAGATCGAACAGATCGTGCGCCTTCAGATAACCTTTCTTCTCCGATGATGAAAGATCTAAGAAAGGGATGAGCTAGGGTTTGCAACGATGATCCTTCTTCTCTGTCGTCGATGTAGAATCCTTCTTCTCTAACACTAGGGTTTCGTAAATTGGGCTTAACAATGGCTCTTTGGACTCGATTTATAGAAATTATTTAAAGAACTGCCACAATCGACTGTGGTCGATGTGTTTGCCCGTTTTCTCCTCTCGTCGGCATCATAGATTCGGAGGAGTGGTGGTGATGCTGTTGTGGGTGTTATCAGGTGGTCAGAGACACAACAATTCGGGTTGCTCCGGTTAAAAGATAAGAGAGATGGTGACGATGGTTGTTTCCGTTGGTGGTGGTGACGAGGTGGGTTAATGGTGAATTAGTCAAAGGAAGATGAGGATTATGCAGAATAAGGTTTACATATTTTCGTGTATATTACTTTGATTAGAAGGGAAAGAAGTTTTACAATTTCTCTATTTGTTCATTGACTTTCACAAGCGCGCGCGCGAGAGAGAGAGAGAGAGAGAGAGAGAGAGAGAGAGAGAGTATTTTATTAATTTCTATAATAAAAATATTCAAAAAAGAAAATACAAAGGATAAATTCAGGGGCAAAACTGTCATTATAAAAATGTTTAAAGCAAATTGGACCAAACTCGCAAGAAAATGAAAAGTTTGGACCTCTGGTGCTAGTCCAAACTTTTTTGGACCAAAGTGACAATTTTTAGCTAACCACAGGGACCATTTGTGCAGTTTTGTATATATATATATATATATATATATATATTATATATATATATACACACACACACACACATAATAATAAGTATATGTATATGCATACGCATAATAATAAGTATATGTATGTGAATAACATATCCATAAGAATAAGTATATGCATATGCATAATAATAAGTACATGGATATGTTATGCATAAGAATAAGTATGTGCATGTGAATAAGTATATGCATATGCATATGCTTATGCATATTCTTATGCATAAGCATATGCATATACATAAGAATAAGTATATGCATATGCATAAGAATAAGTATATTCATATGGATAAAAATAAGTATATGCGTATACATATGAATAAGTATATGCATATGATTATTACATAAATTTCGAAATTAATACTTAAAAAATGATTTTTTTTTACAAAAATGCATTTTTAATGCATATTTATTTTTTTGTATATATGAATATTTAAAAAAAACATATGCATATGCACATGCACATTTGAAAAAGACAGTTTTAATGCCTATATATGCATAAGAGTAAGCATATGCATATGTATATACATATACATATGAATAAATATATGTATATGTATATGCATATACATATGTATAAGAATAAGTATATGCTCAAGACAATTAAATACATATGATTTTGAAAATGCTTATGTATATGCATATTCATAAGAATAAGTATATGAAATATGCATATGAATAACTATATTCTTATTCATAAGTATATACATATGCATATAAATGTAGGGGAGCGTTCAATCGAGAACATTTTTCCCGCGAGAACATTTGAGAACAAATTTGGACCACACAATTTTTTTAATTAAAATTATAAAATAATATTCATATAAATCAAAAATTAGTGACAAACAATTAAAAAACCCACTAACTAACACCACTCACCACCCAACCAACACCACCCGCCACCACCACCGCCACCACAACCACCACCATCACCACCCACCACTATCACCACCACCTGCTACCACCACCCACCTCCACCACCCATCACCACCGCCTGCCACCACCACCACCCACAACCACTATCTACCACCCATTACCACCACCTACCACCACCAATTACTACCCACCACCACCCATCACTAACCACCACCATCAACCACCACCCACCACCCGCCACCACCAAGCACCACCACCACCCATTACTACCCACCACCATCACCACCACCACCACCACCAACCACCGCCCGCCACCACCATCACCACCCAACCACCACCACCTACCTCCACCACCCATCACAACCGCCTGCTACCACCACCCACAACCACTACCTACCACCCATTACCACCACCCACCACCACCAATTATTACCCACCACCACCACTCGCCACCACCACCCATCACTAAGCACCACCACCAACCACCACCCATCACCCATCACTACCCACCACCCATCACCACCACCACCAACAACAACCACCACCACCACCCACCACCATCACCACTCAACCACCACCACCCGTCGCCACCACCCGCCTTCACCACCCATCACCATCGCCCACCACCACCAACAACCACTACCTACCACCCATAACTACCCACCACCCACCACCACCCACCACAACCACCACCCACCACCACCAACCACCAACCGCCACCACCACTCATCACTACCCACCACCACCCACAACCCGTCACTACCCACCACCACCACCACCACCCACCATCATCACCACCCACCACCGCCACCACCAACCACCACCCACCACCACCACCCATCACCACCACCCCGCCGCCACCACCCCCACCTCACCATCACTATCACCACCACTTGCACCCACCCACCCACCCACCCACCACCACACACCACCACCACCCATCACCACCACCCCGCCGCCACCACCCCCACCTCCACCTACAAAGATTTGTTATTGTGTTTTTGATTCATTAGTTTTTCTCGTGTATATAATCACATGTGATTATATGTATCGAGTCACATGTGATTATATGTATCAAATCATATATGATTTATATGTTATTAAATACATATAATTACATGTGATTAAATACACGTGAAAAACTAGTGAATCCAGAATGAAAAAATGAATATATCTATGTAAATCATATGTGATTAGATACATATAATTACCCGTGATTATATGTATTTAATAAAATATTATTTACGTGGGCCGTATTTATTTTCGTGTTTTCAATTTTATAATTGGCATCGTGTATTAAATCACATGTGATTATATGTATTTAATCACATATGATTTACATGGACAATATTTGTTTTCATGTGCTGATTCAATAGTTGTTCTTGTGTATTTAATCACATATGATTATATTTATTTAATCACATATGATTCGTATGGAAAATATTTATTCTTGCGTCGATTCAATAATTGTTTTAAGGAAAATATTTATTCTTGCGTCGATTCAATAATTGTTCTAATACATTTAATCACATGTGATTATGTGTATTTAATCACATATGATTTATGTGGACAATATTCATTATTTCTTTCTCGATTCAATAGTTGTACTCATGTACTTAATCACATGTGATTATATGTATCAAATCGCATATGATTTATATTGATAATATTCACGATTCAATATTTTTTTCTTATGTATTTAATCATATGTGATTTTATATATTAATCACATATGATTAATGTGGAAAAATAAAAACTATTTAATCAAAAACGCGAAAATGAATCTTGTGTACAGAAATCATGTGTGACTAAATGTACACAAGAATGTGAAAATGAATATTGTCCGTATAAATCATATCTAATTACATACATATAATATCATGTAATTAAGCACACAAGAACAACAACTGAATCGAGAACGCAAAAATAAATATTTTCCACATAAATTCTATGTGATTAGCTACATATAATCACATGTGATTATATGCATTTAATCACATATGATATATGTGGTCAATATTTATCTTTGTGTTCTCGATTCAATAGTTGTTCTTGTGTATATAATCATATGTGATTATATGTATCTAATCACATATGATTTATATAGACATCATTATTTTTTGTCCGTATAAATCATATGTGACTAGATACGTATAATCACATATGATTATATGTATTTAATCACATATGATTACAGTGGACAAAGAACAATTATTGAATCGAGAATGTGACAATGTATCTCATCCACATAACTCATATATGATTAGATACATATAATCACATGTGATTATATGTATTTAATCAAATATGACTTATGTAGACACTATTTATTTTTGCGGTTTCGACTGAATAATTGCTTTTGTGTAATTAATCACATATGATTATATGTATATAATCACATATGATTTGAGGTGGAAAAGATTTATTTTTTCCTTCTCGATTCAATAGTTGTGCTCATGTACTTAATCACATACGATTATACATATAATCACATGTGATAAAATACATGAAAACAACTATTGAATCGACAAAGCAAAAATGAATTATGTCCACATAAATCATATGTGATTAGATTCATATAATCACATGTGATTATATTTATTTAATCACATATGTTAATTTGGATAAAGATTTGTTTTCGTGTTCTTTGTTCAATATTTGTTATCGTGTATATAATTACATGTAATTGTATGTATCTAATCACATATGATTTTAATAGATAAGATTTGTTTTTTCCAAATAAAATCATATGTGATTACAAACATATAATCACATCTGATTAAATGTATTTAATCACATATGATTAAAGTGAAAAAAAATAATTATTGAATCGAGAACGCGAAAATGAATCTTAACCACATAAATCATATGTGATTAGATACACATAATCACATGTTATTAAGGTATCCGTGAACAATAACATAAAACAAGTAATTCCTACATAATAGGAGAGTTAGTATAACTCACCTCCTTGAGCTTGAAAATTAGCTAGCATGAGGAAGATGGATCATTTCCTTTCCGAGAACCTACACAAAAATTATAACATGTATTTAATCATATTTGATTATGTGATTATGTGTATTTAATCATATATGATTGATATTGACAATATTCATTAGGTAATTATAATCATATGTGATTATGTGTATTTAATCATATATGATTGATATTGACAATATTCATTAGGTACTTATAATCATATGTGATTATGTGTATTTAATCATATATGATTTATATGTATTTAATTACATATGATTTATGTGCACAAGATTTATTTTTTCTTTTTCGTTTCAACAGACGTTCTCAATTCAATAGACGTTTTATTATGTATTTAAATGGTTAATCGATTAATATTTGTCTCAATTACTAGTTATTCCAAGATATTTTATTTTGTTATGCAAGACATTTTATTTGAGATGTTTAGTCTACTCGGTATGGGCAATGCCATAAGGCGTTATGCTGATTTGGCAGCTCCCATAACGGCGCCATAACACCGGAACACCGCCCCCCTCTCATGTTATTTGGTGTTATGTTAAGAAATGTTACCATGGCCACGGGAAGTAACGTGAGAATCAACCAACCAAAAACTATTATCTCACTCTCTCTCTAACTCTCTTTGTATCTCTTAACATGTTATAACTTGTTATAACATTTGCACACCATTTCCTACATAAATCAAATGATGTTAAAGATGACATGACATATGAATTGGCAAATTTTGGGAATGATAACATGTCTTGCCCACACCCACCGGCCTTATGTATATAATAAATTTTATTTTGGTGTTTTAGAATTGTTTGATATCGTGTTATATGAAATAACAAACCAATCATGTTGTTTTCTTTCATCGAATGTTTTCTCTGTTCATTTTAGAGATTTAGGCTCAATAACAATTTATATTTAACAATTTTAATAACACATAAACATAAATATATGTTAGACTCATTAGTTGTAATCATAAGAAAAATAATACAATATCATTATTATATATATGTCTTTTAAAGCTAGATGGCTTGGCAGAAAGCAATAAAACCACATTTTAAAATTGTCCATCCAAAGCAACGAAAAAAGATGACTTTCAGAAAATATTAAAAAAATATGATGACCTATTATACAGCTATTTGTACCTTAGCAACTCTACTCCATGGCAAACACCACCAAATTAATTACTAACATCACCGAAATATGCTTTGAACACTATCGGATGCACACACAACCAAATTATACTCATATTTATTACCTCACTGCGAACAATCTCACTTGAATAAATTAAATCAACGCGTCGTCAAAAACGCTGATCGATCTTATAAAACAAACATCGAGACTTTCATCCACAAGTACTCATGTCAATTAATATTTATATAGACATGGAAGGATAAAAACAAAGAAAGGGCTACCAAGAGAAGGGAGCTTACATTGCAATTACAGTTCCACTAGAATCAGTAGAAATATGGAGAGCACAGACGAAGAAATCACGGCCTCTTTGGTCTGAGACGCAGTTCGACGACGGTCGGTGAAAGTAGAACGAAAAACCTCTAGGTCGTGGTCTATGAAACCATATCGGGAACCAGATTTGGTGGCCATTGAAACTGGATTTGGTAAAAACGGACGAGAAGGAAATGGTTTCCGACGAGCGAGCGAGTGGTGGTCGGTGCAACCAGATCTGGTAGCGTTCTTCTTCAGATTCGAGGAAACCAGATCCGCCGGAGGTGGTAGACGGAATGTCATCGCCAACATTGGTAATACTCTGTGGTGAGATGGGAGGCACCGAACTGCCACCGGTGGCGGAGTCCGTGATTCGCTCCCTCATTTCTTCTATTCTCCTCTCAAACAGAGGGAGGCAGAGGCATATGACGATAAGTGAAGATGCGGTGTTCCGGTCGTTTTGGCGGTGTTTCGACAACTTTCCGGTCGTTCTGGCGGTGTTCTGGTCGTTTTGGCTGCTTCCCGATCATTCCGGCGGTGTTCCGATCGTTCTGGCAGTGTTCCGATCCTTCCGGAAGTGTTCCGATCGTTTTCCGGCAACGATCGGCGACGGCGGTATGGTGGTTCCAGTTGTAGTATGGTGGTTGGTTGTCTGATGGTGGTTAGATGTAGAGAGAAATAAAAGATATTTAGTTGGTAGGTGGGGTGGATGGGTATAAATGTGGTTTTGGTAGTGATTCCGACAGTCTGGTGGTCCAGATCTAAAGAGAGAGAGAGAGAGAATTGAATGTATGTGTGTGTGAGTGTGTAAGATATTGATATCAGATTTTTTTTTAAAATATGGATATAATTAATTTTGTATTACCCAAATAAATTAATTTTGTATTACCCAAATACTGTGAAGGCAATTAGAAAAACAAAGGTCGGTGTTTTTTGAACTCATAAGCTAAAAAATGTTCTCAAATGTTCTCAATCTCAAAAATATTCTCATTTGAACATACCTCTATAAATATATGCATATATATATGATGCATATCAATATGCATATATGGTTAAGCTACCTTCTTTTTTAAAGGTCTAGTATGCTCAAGAGTCATTTAAAGTGATATTGTTAAATAACATATGATACTAATGGGTCATACTAACAACAACTTCATACAATTGATTATTTATTAGAAATTGATTTTAATAAATATTCAATAAAACTCTTTTAATTAAATTGGAAACTATTTAATTCATGGAAATAATAAATTCCATTAGCAAGTAACTTAATATATATCATATGGTATGATTTATAAGTCATGTACAAACTTTTGGACTAGTTGAATCATTTTTGTCTTTTTCCTAAAAGACAAGGTTTATATTTTATAAAAGAGTTTATAAAAGATTGACTTTCTTTCTTCTTCTTTATGCAATTTTCAAGATATGCATAAAAAGAAGAAATGTATGACTTGTCTAATCATGCTTTAAAGACATCGGAGACATGCTTATGACAAGGAGACAAGTTTGTCTAAAGTTGAAGGAACCAATGGTTAATAACTTCACTTTTAGGCACTATAAATATGAGGCTTCCACTCTTAAAGTTTTTTGCCTCATTCTTTCTTCCAATGGCTAAGAGCTCCATGGGAGACTCTCCATCTCTTCTTTGCTTTGAGTTATTGAAGATTACACTAGTACAAAAATGACCTACGGTCACACTTTTTGAAAAACGGTCTGTCACACATTATCACCCCCCAAACCAGAATGGCAGAAACATTCGGGGGCGGAGGACGTCATGTACAGTATCATAACAATGCACAATAGTAAAACAAGCAACAACATCATCAATTGCATTAATAATATAATTTAATACAAGTGTGTTATGTGTAAAGTTGGAAAGACACCAAAATATGAATCAAAATAAAAGACGAGTCTTGAACATGCTCCGTCTTCTCAAAATCTGGTCATCGGTACCTGTCTACTGGTGACCTGAGAATACAAGTTATTTTGAAATAGTAGATCAGCATTTAAGCTGGTGAGTTCATAAGTATTTTAGTGTCAAATGTTTGTATAAGTTTGATGAAAATGTTTGTAAGTGTTTGATGTAAAGTTTGTAAGTGTTTGATGTAAATGTTTGTATACTTCCTAGAAAATCCTATATTTTCTACTAAATTGGAGAGTAGTCTTCTACCAAGACCCGACTGTTTTGTATGTATATTCTTTTGTAAAAGTGAGTGTTTTCCCAAGTATATGACTATCATTACCAGAAAATAGTTTACATTACCGTTTATGTGAGAAGATCACTATATGAATGTAATGGGAAAATGAAGATGTACAATAGTATTTGTATAAAGTAACTACTGATGTACTAACTACCTTAAACCAGTTGTTTAATTAAGGTAAAATGTGATGAGGTTATAACCATACTTGATTGACTAGTATAACACGACGATCAAAGACGTCAAAATGGTATGACATTCGTCACCCGTAGACCTGCAGGTCCCACTATAGCTAGCAACAAGGTGTAGGATGGTCAATCCCGTATAGATCTATACACAAACTCACGCTCTCCCTTCAGGAGACTCTGGTTACAAAACGTGACACATCAGTATATTGCCAATGTCATGAAGTAGTGGCTCACATTAATGTTTTCTTGTTCTTGTATTAGTATAGTATGTTCCTTCTGTTCTAGTGTATAGTATGTTCCTTCTGTTCTAGTGTATAGTATGTTCCTTCTGTTCTAGTGTATAGAATGTTCTTTCTGTTCTTGTTATAGTATGTTTGAACTGACTCATGTATGAACTGACTCTTGTAAGTCTCATTGTTCTAGAAATAGTAAGTAGTAATCCTCTAAACTATATCTATTATAGTTTACTAGTACTGTTGTTTGAATGACTGATCATGTTTGTACACCTTTGCTACCCAAAGGTATTGAACTGATTAGAAGAACTTTTATATCTACATACATATACATAATATATATAACTAAGATTTAAACGACACTCAGACAAACAACTGATACCCTAAGTCCACAACCAAACAAGGAACAGGAAATAAAGCGAGTTATCAGTCCTAAGCCCTTTCAACCTTATTTATATAACTATATCTATATAGACATGATTTTGACAATATATAAGTTTAAAAGAGTTTTGTAAAACGATAAAGAGTTTATCATATAAAAAGAGTTTTAACCATTTGAATGGTTATTGATGACTTGATGTTAGTTTAGAAAATGATTTGAAACAGTTTGATTGATAACACAGTTTTGAAGTGTAAGAAATCCTTTTGTTTGATAGTTATAAATCACATGTGATTGATACTATAACTATATTGTTTTCTACTTGTATCCCCCCCATAAAAGCATTTAAAATCATTAAAAGATAAGTTTAGGGGTATGAACTCACCTGTAGTGAGTTATTCGAATGAAAGATCGATATAGGATGCTAAGTATGCCAAGTGAAGTCTCGAGCACAAACGGATCCTATTAAGCATATAATGACACATATATGTATATAATTAGTGTTTATAATAACTAATCATGTCAGGGAACAACCTTAGGTACTAGGAAACACTTGTAATGAAGTGTTACAATCACATAAGATTGTATGAAAGGGTGTTCACGGCCACACAAAGATGTGTTCACGGCCAAGGAGAGTTTACGGCCACACTTGAAGTGTTTACGACCCAAGGCTTGATCCAATGAAGGGTTTACGGCCAAGGAAGGAGGGTTCACGGACATATCAAGATCCTATGAAGGGTTCACGGCCACATGAAGGGTTCACGGCCGTGAACTCTTGAAGATCTTGCACAAAGTGGTTGTTTCATGGTTGGAAATCAAGAGCTTCTAATGGATAACAAGTGTATGGAAAAGGATACTTACTTAATGGGAGTCTTGAAGGTGTTCACGGCCCCAAGAACAAGTGTGTGTTCTTGGTGTTCTTGGTGAAAAGATGATGATTTGAAGATGCTTTTGAAGATCTAAGAGGATATCCTTGATGATACTTGAGAGAGAAAGGAGAATTCTTGACTTGAAGATGTGAGAAATGAAGAAATAATGAAGGAACACCATACTTATCAAGAGGGGTTAACGGCCAACATGGGTTCACGGCCGTGAACCCTAGTTTGCGGCCGTGAACTCCTTGTGGAGGTGTTTCCGGTTTGATTGCAACTCAACGATCTCAAGTTAATACTTCCTAACACACAATCCTTGAGTGTACTAGGCTTAGAACTCTCAAACAGACCCTTAACCAGGGGTAGTGGTTGAACCTTGCCATGAGGCCGCTGATGCTCGGCCTTGACCTTCCTGCAGGTCAAGCACCGCTCCACAAACCAGGCGATCTCCCGCTTCATGCAGGGCCACCAGTAACTCAGTCTCAAATCTCTATTCATTTTCTTAGCCCCTGGATGTATAGAGAACTTGGACTTGTGTGCCTTCTCCAATATCTTCTGTCTCACTCATCCAGTCACCGGTACCCATACCCGGCCACACTATGTTAGAAGGCCTCAACTATCCTTAACAAACAAAGGATATTGTCCCCGAATCCACTCAATCTTCCAATTTTCCTTCTTCACACCCTCGACCTGGGCCTCCTTGATCATGTCCAGTAAGGGAGAGATCACCGTCATCCTCAAACAAACGTTCCCAACCGGGGAAACTACCGCCTTGCGGCTCAAAGCATTGGCCACCATGTTGGCCTTCCCTGGATGGTATAAGATCTCACAGTCATAATCTTTCAGCACATCCAACCACCTCCTCTGCCGCATGTTGAGGTTCTGCTGATCCATCAAGTACTTCAGGCTCTTATAATCAGTGTAAATAGTGCATCGCACCCCGTACAAATAGTGCCTCCAAATCTTGAGGGCAAATACCACTGACCCCTATTCCAAGTCGTGAGTGGGGTAGTTTGCCTCATGAGGCTTCAATTGCCTCGAGGCGTAAGCTATCACATGCCCCATCTGCATCAGTATCGCACCAAACCCTGAGATTGATGCATCACAGTACACTACCAAATCTTCCAGTCCCTCAGGTAGTACGAGGATCGGGGCCTCACATAATCTTTGTCTCGGGGTCTCGAAAGCCAACTGCTAATCCGGGCCCCACCGAAACGTCACATTCTTCTTGGTCAAGCGGGTCAAAGGCACGACGATCTTGGAGAAATCCTGGATGAATCTCCGCTGGTACCCCGCCAAACCCAAGAAGCTACGAATCTCTGATGCGTTCTTCGCTACTTCCCACCGCACCACAAACTCATAGTTCCCATACCGAGTCCTGAAGGCTGTCTTCGGTATATCCTCATCCCGAATCCTCATCTGATGGTATCCGGACCAAAGATCAATCTTGGAAAACCAAGGCGCACCCTGCAGTTGATCGAATAAATCATCGATCCTCGGTAACGGATAACGGTTCTTCACCGTTAGTTTGTTCAGTTCTCGGTAATCAATACACATCCTGTATGATCCATCCTTCTTTTTCACGAACAGGATCGGAATTCCCGTTTTGAAAATGCTCGTACGGATAAACCCTCAGTCTAACAGCTCCTGGAGCTGTGTAGATAGCTCCTGCATCCTGGGCGGTGCTAGTCGGTACGATGCCTTAGCTATCGGAGCGGCACCCGGCACCAAATCAATACGAAACTCCACTTGCCTCTCCGGAGGCACTCCAGGTAACTCCTCTGGAAAGACATCCCGAAAATCCTGTACGACCTGCACACTTCCCACATCCGTCATGGTCTCAACCCTCGTATCTGAGATATATGCTAGAAATCCCGTACAACCCTGCTGCAGAAATCTCCTAGCTCTCGCAGCTGAACAAAGGGTTGGCCCCTGCGAGGCCCTCTCACCATGAATAACCAGTTCTCCCCCACTTGGGGTTCGAACCCTCACCAGCT